CGTGAAAAATTCATAAAAATTATTCGTAATACTTTTTCCATATACTTAGTACTATTAGATTATACAAATTGTTATTTTTTCATATCATTAGCTCTACCTTAAATGTTAGAACACAATGAGTATCTTTTTGTCTAATAGAAATTTATTTAATACAAAAGTGGATGTTATCCTAAAAACGGTTTCCCACATTTTTATTCGATTCAAAACCAGCTATGGCTATGGTTTCAAATGCATAAAAAAAATTTGGTCTCAAGAGAAGCCAATCCAAATTAAACACGGATACTTACATATATATGTCCGGTAATGATAACCTATATCAAGCCACTACTGTCATAAGTTTTATTTAGTTTATGTCAATTCGTTCATGGCGATTTTGGCTATTTTTCGGATTAGTCAAGGGGATAATTGGATTGTTTTTTTTTAATTAGGGTGGTCCAAAAATACACATGAAAATTATAGTTCTGAAATTTTGTTACTACCACCCCAGAATTATAGAAAATGGGAAATTAGGAGACCCATATTTTTATTTTGAAATCGGTAAATATCTAACACTGCGAACGGGTTTCCAAATGTATTTCTAAAAAATTTACAGCAGAGAAGAACTTTTTAAAGCAATTTTCTTCAGGTTTTTCGTGAAACTTTGAATACAAAGTTCGGATTATTTCGGACTTAGAAAATTTGAGCATTTTGTTTAATATAAACCAGAAAAAATAGAACAAGTGCCTTATTCATTTTCGAATCGATGCATTTTTTATTTCTCTTGCTGGCTGTATCAAAAGTGGACCTAGAAACTCCTACTCTAAGCTAGTGATATTTCATATGGGGAAAAAAGATTTTTTGTAGAAAATCTATCAAATCGTTAAAAATAAATATTTTTAATCAAATCAAAATAACTAGTTTACTTCCAAAAATACAATTTTGGTGCAAACTTGACCCACAGGTTTACAAAAAAAAATGTTTCTGCATATTGAACCAAACCTCAATGTTATTTGACGCCCTAAATGCGAACCCGAGTTCTCTTGGCCTCCATCATGTCAGGTTCGAATTGAAATGAATAAACCAGATAATGCAATACAATTCTTGTGAACTTGAGCTTGTAATGACCTTGGCATGACCTCTAGATGCCCTCGAAGAATCAGGGGACCCCCATATTCGAATTCAGCGACAAAAAAAAACAAAAAATTAAAATTAGTTTTATTTAATATATTTTTTCTCCTGTTTGACCTTCAAAAGACCTCGAACCTACGAGTCTAAAGCTCCATAAATATGAATATTCAAGTTTATTCAATGAATTCTTTTCTACTTAACCTTTAAATGACCTCGAACATGACGTTATGGGGGCTAACAGGCCTAGGATTCGCATTCAGCGCGTCGAATAACATAGAGGTTTGGTTCAATAAGCAAAAATTTTTCTTTTGTAAACCTTCGTTATTTATTTAAAACTTGCACATAAAATAACTATTTTTTTTATATAAAATATGAGATATTCGGTTATGAAAAAGTAGTATATAAAATTAAGTAGTAACATATGCATCATAATTTCATTGCTTAAAGCTTTCTGAAGAGAAAAATTTTAATCAATCGAAGATATTTACTTTTAATGATTGTATAATAATTTTACAAAAAAAAATTTATTTAAGAGTTAACCGATATCGAAAAAACGGTAGTCCTTATTTTCGATATTCGTCAGTTCTGAGGATGGATGGAAAACAACCCCAATGGATATACATACATATAAATATAAAAATAATACGTAATTTAGAACTTACAGATTCACACCATCGTATCCCGCTCCAATGCCGACATGATCCACGCCTGCCACATCGCGTATGTGATTTATATGCACTGTGAATAAATTTTATATGAATGTTAAGTTAGATTTATGTGTTAAATGGAAAAGTTTACAAAAATATTGGAAAATTTAAAAAATGGCGTTAAGTTTTCATATCCTGCGCTGTACTTTATATCAGAGTAATTGTCATAGTGGCACACCTACATATTCTGATTCTAGATATTTGCGTTGTTCAATATTTTGTTTAAGGACATTGCACATACAGGTTTTATATAATTAATGGGCCATTATGTAAGAATCGGATTCACTAAAAGATTCAGGGTTTGTCGACAGGCGTAGGCCATACAAAGCCTCTAGTGAAAATTAATTCGTATCACCTGTGTTCCCATACTTTTGTAACGTCTTCCGCGATAATCCGATATTAAGGTTATAAACTACATAACCTTGGCAAAATACTTTGTACATGTTTAATTTAAAAAGCCTCATCTTTTAATTATTATTTCATTATGTTCACTTTTTCATCATTTTCTTTACGCGAAAACTTGTCTTATATTCTTTATGGGGCCTAAATATATTTAAATGCAATATAAATGTTATGAATAATTTTAACAAGAAAACAAACAAATCTTTTTTGGTGCCTTAAAGATGTAATGCTAAAGCTTAGGGGCGGTCGATTTTAATTTTGTAAAATTGATGTTTCTTCTACATGTGAGCTCTATACAATGTTTAATTTTATTATTTTTTAGTATGATCAACTAATTAATATTTAATGAAATATTCAAGTGGATTTTTTACTAAAAACAGTTTAAAGAAAAAGGTATAGTTCATTTTCACCATGTTTTTATAATAATAAATTTATGTTTTTTTTCGTATAATTATATTTAAAACTATATTTCTAAATATTTTTTGAATCCGATCGTTTTCCACATTATGTTAAAGACGCGTTTTTGTACTAAAATTTTAGGTTTGTGGGCATACAAATTTAAAAATAGCATACTTTTTTGAATTCTGGTTACTGTAAAAAAAAAATTAATTCTACAAATATCTAGACCTCAGCCTATGTGGCATCTCAGCTCATGGTCAATGTGCATGCAAGCTTTACCCTCATTCGTCCAGCCGCTTCAGCGTGAAGAACACTAACAAAATGGGTATCAAATATCGCTGTGCACCGCTTTTTGCTGCCAAACAACTTAACCCATGTAGCCCATATACAAACCGAAAAGCACACAAATTTTAAAGAAAATTATGCACTCTGCCGCAAACATGAACAACCAAAAGGAAATTATAAGTTAACTCCTGACCTGACATTTCCAAACTAGTAGCGATACTTAGTAGCCGTTGACCACGGTAGAAGGCTGTACCTCGACTCAGGTCAATTTGGAGGAACGTACATGGCACAAAATTAGCAGGAAACAGTAAAGCACCTTTCGTATTTACAATTGTTTGCCTGATCTTGCTAAAATAATCCTTCACGACATATTAAATTTTATCAACTACCCGAGTGCTTCACTGCGCTCTAAAAGTATTTTTCTGTTGTTACTCCCTCCCAAAACTCTTATGGCTTCATTCATAAAAAATAAAAGAGATTTGAAGTGGGCTTTACGAAGTGAGATTTTCAAAAAAATTTTCGATTTATAAAACATGCTTTATTTTCTATGAATAAGGGTGTTAGTTAATATACTTTCGAAGGTATTCAATCCTGGAAATTTAATTTATACTCTTATAACTCGATTCTACATATTGTCCACTTTTTTCAAAGGTGCATTAATTCAGTATTTATCTTATCTGATCACAAATAGCTGGCAACACGCACAAAAATATTTTCGGCAGTAAACTTTACTAGACCTCCTTAGTTTGATACTCATATTGTAATATTTCATTTATTTCATCAATTAAGTAATTTATTAAAAATTTTCCAAAAGGTGGCAACCCTGCTCATAAATATTTTGGCAACAAATTTTCCTAACCCTCTACAGATTGATACCGATTTTGCAATATTTAATTTATTTTATAAACTAAAACCAATTAAACTTTTCAAACATGTGGCAACCTTCCACAAAACTATTTTCGGCTGTGAACCTTCTGAAAACTCTTTCTTTTGACATCCATATTACAATATTTACTCTATCTTATCAATTTACTCAAACTGCCATTTTCAAACAGGTGGCAACTTTCTAATAATTTTTTTTCTTATGTTTTAAGTTAGACCTGTAGAAATGTATCGATGAAAACTGCATTTGATTCCTTGCATAAGTTTTCGAGTGATGTGCGTACAGACCAACAGACAGACAGATAGACAAAAATTCTAAAAATTGTTGATTTGGTTTAAGTTTCTCTAGTAAAGACCACCACTTTAATTTATCTTTAATATCTGTAATGTACAGGCATTGGCCTATTAAAATTTTATTATACATATATAGATGCTGGTTGGGGCCAAATTTGTACTTAAATTGCTACTTTGAAGTTAAGGTTTTTGTCGTCATTTTAACAATAACTTTTTAAACATATCTCCTCTGAATTTCTGTACTCATTTTACACTCTGCATTTACATGAAAAGCAATAAAGGCGAATTAATGAGCTCAAGTGGAAATTATTACTTGTGTAATTCCGTATTTATCTAAACCACTACAACCGTATTAGAATAAAAATATGTTATTAATTTACAAAAATTTGGCATAAATTAACACATAAAACCTATTAATCTTTGGTAAATTACTCAAAAGCGAAATTTTACGTTGAGCGCAATAATGCGTTCAAACTTACATACATACACATGTACCTATGTACGAGTATATATGCGTGTGCGTCACTCACAAACCAAATTAGCTAATTCTCACAATAAAAGCCACAAAATAAATATATCAAATGCTCAAAACAATTTATACGACATGCAGAGCAATTTGTTGCTTATTAAAATTTTACCACACACAACAATTACATTGTTGCCATGTATAAGCAATTTTTTTTTTTGTTTTTTGTCGTTCGGTCGGTCGGTCATTTCGGTTGCAACGCTCCCACTGTGTGTTGTTTAATGTGAGGGCAATATTTTTATTTGTCGTTGTTTTTATTTTTTGGTTTTTGGTTTTTTTGGCATTCTACTGTAACCAATTGCCCTTTTGCAGAAAATGTCACTTTGTGTGCACACATCAATAGATTTGTGTACATGTGTATTTGTTTGTATCTGTGAGGCTGCATCAGAGATCTGTAGTCAGTACTAATAAAATTATTACTCAATACTTAAATACTCAAAATATTCCTGCACCTATAAGAGCCGTCAATTTATGACACTATTTAGTGTAGTATATCAACAGGCTTGCCAACTTGACTCAAACCGTGCCATTTTTGGCGCTATTTTAACTCCAAATGGCACTTTGGAGAAATAATAATATTTGAATACATTTTTTGTGAAAATACTTTGCGTGCACTACTTTTCCATCGAATAAAATTTTCTAGCTTCTAAAGTTTATAAAACCGGTTAATCCTATTTTAGATGAAAGGAGTGTAATGTGTTATATACGGGTTATATGGTACAACCGTTTATTTACTAAACTATTTGCTATGCAGGAAAACTTTTTACACAAAAGTTGTAGAATTATAAATGGTAAAAGAAAACAAGTGATCGGCTTTATCATATATAATTATATTATGGTTTCCACTTCGCCTCAAAGTGTGCCGCTACAAAAAATTTTAAATTTTCAAGGTGATTTTAAAAAGGATAAACAAAGATAAATAAATGAAACTCATATTAGAACCGACCACCAACATATCATATTTTATCCATGAAAGGTTATTTTTTTAAATTGTAAATATGTAAATATAAAAAAAAAAAAAAAAATAGGAAATATAAAAGCAAAGCGCAGCTAATCATTCATTTAATTCATTGTTAAATAGTAACATTAATTTTATTTCTGTGAATAAAAAAATTCTGTTGTGTTTTAGCTACTTCCTCAATAATATCGTGTTTTAAAAAACTTTGGACACACATTTTCGAAGTTATGATCAGATATTGGTTTACCACATTACCCGACGTTCCTTTAGTATTGCACTTTTGCTCCCTGTTTTGTTGTTCGATTAAAAAGAATACGCGCAAGCTCAAATTGAAGGTGTCATCATTTCGCTCTCATTTGTACATATGTGAAGTGTACCTGCAGCATAATTTAGAGACATTCGGCATAGCGCTAGTTCTGTTCTACAAATTTCAGAACTGTCTCTAAGGGGCGTACTGCAAAATGGCTGCAGAGCGAGACACTTGAAACTTACGATGTGGTAGTAGTTGCGCTGTCGTCAAAAGTTTATCACATTAATAATATGACAGCTGAGAAAAAAATTTACAAGTTCTCACTTCTTGTACAAAACGAAAAGAGCTCCGAAGGCCACCGAATCTAACATAGCAGGTCGCGAGTTCAAATCGCGGTGGAGGCAGTTGTAAGTTTCAGATTTAATATATTTTAATTGTTGCGTGCCTCTTAAAAATTTAAGAGAAAATTATAAAATTCCAATTCCATTGCAGATAGTTGATAGCATTGATATAACTAGTTTAGACGAAGAAGTACCGTACCTTTGCAAGCGAGTTCGGGTCGAGTTCCGAACCAGTTTGATTAGCTGCAGGGGTACCTGCAAATTTCGTCAGATCACGGATTTTCGAAAACAGTGTATCATTCATTGTAAAGTACTTATCATCCCCATGTTGGAATAAAAATATTTTGAAAAAACTCTTAAGGCAGTGTCACACGATTTGTACATTTGTACAGATTACAGATACATTTTTCATATTGTGCTATTGGTACAAAATGAAAGATTTGGAATGAACTTTTTTTGTAGTCACACGAAATTAATATTATACTTTAAAATATAACAGTCAATAACTTGAACAAATAATATTTATATTATTAATATTATTATAAGAAGTTTTTCTAAATATTTGCATCTCAGCAAAAATATTATTAGTACTTATTTTAAATATATATACTTTTTTTAAAAATCCATGACTAGACAAAATTTGCATGGTCACACTCATGTGCTTTATTACTATTTGCATGAATTCAAAGAACTAAACTAAGTAGAGAGACTTTCATGACTTAAATAACTCTTGGTGCTGTGAGTCATTTCGGTATTACAAAATTATTTATTAGCTCAATGTGAGAATGAGAATGTTCTACTTTTACTTATGTATCTATATCCACTATAGCTTTTTTTTGTGTTAGTCAACCAACAACTTAAAAAATCTAACAATGGCAGATCTCTGGCTAACATCCTGCTGCTGCTGCTGCTGTTGCATATCAGCAGTGAAGCATCGATTTTCCATTTTACTGAATATTAATATAATGTTGAGTTTGATATTTTATTGCACTGCTGCATATCGCAAGCAATATCTATGTCAGTATGTAGTAGATATGTATACAGTACATTTGTGTTTGTGTGCATACATAGACATATGTATGTATTTACATACCAATAACATCCTCTAGTGTCGCCTGACTCGAACAACTAAGAAAATGTGGGTAAAATGCGACCATCACCAAGCCGCCATTGACTGCCTGAAACGATGCCAAACAAACCAAGTACAAATTTATATAGGCTCACATACAATCAACATATTACATATGTACATATATAGACTAGTTGTAAAAATATGTGAAAGTACATTTATGTATGTTTATGGTCTGCTGAGTACTTCCGTGCATTCCACGACACAACACAGAGTCATTTTGCGAGATACGAGCTAGAGTTGCAGGCAGGCTAGCAGCGAGAGGTGTGGAGTGCTGGTGCGCATCGTCTGTGATGGTTAAGTGTGTCCTTCACAAAATTTAAGCGCTGCGAATTTTTCAAATAGTCCTGTGAGGCTGCAGCAGCTGCAGCGCCAAACGATGGGCGAAACGTTTAAAGCACACTTTGAATGATGCTAACCGGCACTGGCGACGCCAACGCCGCCTCATAGGTATGTGTACTTACGGGACGTACATAAGAGTGTGTACGTTTGTGTTGCGCTTTGTGCAACAGTCAAACCAAACAGGCAAGCTACCAAGCCAGCAAGCAAGCCAGCAAGCAAGCAGCCAACTAACTAACCAATTGATTGGGAAAGAGGGCACTCGAGAGTAAAGTTTGTGCGATGCAACGCTTTGGCTGAAGTTGTTTCGTGAATGCAATATTTTGCGCTATAAAAATGTAAGCATCTATGTTTTTCCTGATTATTATTTTTTTCTTGTCAGCATGCGGCTGTAAAATATTTTCGTTTTGCTTTTGCTCGATTGAGGGGAAACACTCCACTCCACTCTGCACAGCACCGCACTTCAGTGCAAGATTTATTCAACATATTGCTCGTAGTTTGCTCGCAAAACGAAATCAAATGCAATAGCATCAAAATGAAATGATAAAATGGCAAATGAAAAAAAAAATTAAGGAAAAAAAATTAAAGCGAGTTTGTGAAAATTTGTGTTAAATGGCAAAAATGCAAAAGTAGCAAAAATAGTAAAAATAGCAGAAATAGCAAACAAAAAATTGGCGAAAAAAAAAAATTCGTAAAAAAAACCGGCGAAAAAATTACAAAAAAAAACTGGCAAAAACTTACAATTTTCTGCAGCACATGATCTGGCACATTACGCGAACTGTTGCATATGGCATGCGCGGAGGAGTGTGAAAATATCACAGGCGCCTTCGAAGCGCTCAATGCGTCCAACATTGTCG